TTCATAACTGTAATGTTGCTACTGTTATGAATCATAATGTAAATATCTGATATGCAGGATGGTCTTAGGTGACCCCTGTGAAAGGGTCGTTCGACCACCAAAGGGGTCGGGACCCACAGGTTGAGAACCATTGAGTAAGCCAAAGCTTTATTGTATAGTCAGAGCACAGGAAGCAAAACAAGGGCAAGATGTTTACAATGTTCTTGTAAGTTTCAAGTCTATTTCGTTACTCAAGCCTTATTTTGGCAGCACTTGCTGCACCTCCCACAGCCCATTAGCCACCTAGGAACAAGGGAGGACTATAAGGTCAAGCTTAATTGCCCTAGGAGGGCTCTGCCCTCCAAGCTGGGACTATGTGGCTCTGCCACAGGTCAGTCCAAGGCTTGATCCTATAGCCACTCCCTACAATTCTTTGTATGAGGAAAAGGTGCCAATATTTGTCCTCAAATTCACAGCTATGATGCTCATTACTTAAAGAACTGCAGCCACTTGTGGTCCTTGCAGGGCCTGCTTGTCCCTGCTTGTCCCTGGGGAGCTGAAGGCATCATTAGAGTCCTCAGAACCTCAGGGACCAGGATGATGTCATGCTCAATCTGATCTGAGTCCCCTTCCCCCAGGAACAGTATTCACTGTGCCTGTTACCTGTAAGCCTCTCCCCAGGCAGAGGTCATTCTCACAAGGCTGGTGAGCTGAGCTGCAGGTGGAGATAAAGGCCAGAGATGGCTTGTGTTGCTTTCTGAACCTCAAGCATGAGGCTGACAGTGGCTTCCATTTTTTCCGTTTCTAGATCAGCTCTGTTAGGGAAATGGTGAAGCAACACCAGACCTCTGAGATGGGTCCTATTTCCTTTTGGCCCATTGGAATGCACCCTCTATTCCTGTATAGCCTTCCTCAGAGTCCATGAAGACAGACCTTAAATTATAATAGGTTGAGTTCTAACAGCTCATCTGGGGGATAGGTGTTCAAAACTTGAAACTCAACTAATGAAGTAATAACAGTGCTTCTATTTCCTTGGAATGAGTCCATTTGCTAGCCTCTATCCCCAAAAGTTATCTTCTTTGTTTCCTTCTCCTTGGGGTGTTTCTGGTATACTCTGGGTTCACAGTCTGCTGAGCTAATCCCCAACACCAGCACATATATAGGGTGTCCCAAAATTCACGCAAGAAGTAATTTTGATAGAAAACACAGGTTTATAATTAAAAATTGTCAATTTTTTGCCCTAACCGGTTTGGCTCAGTGGATAGAGCGTCAGCCTGCGGACTGAAGGGTCCCAGGTTCGATTTCGGTCAAGGGTATGTACCTTGGTTGTGGGCACATACCCAGTAGGGAGTGTGCAGGAGGCAGCTGAATCAATGTTTCTCTCTCATCGATGTTTCTAACTCTCTATCCCTCTCCCTTCCTCTCTGTAAAAAATTCAATAAAATATTTTTAAAAATTGTAAATTTTTTATTGATTCATAAAGTATACAGTATAGGGTTATGTATGGAATAGCATATTAGGTAAATGGCCTCCATGGCTTTGCTGGCATATATGCAAAGCCGTGGTCTTCATTGGTCTTCATTGTCCCTGCTCCTGGGCCATAATTGGTACTTGGTAATGCTTATCAAATTGAAGGGATTGAAATCAAAGGGCAACAGATATTAGAATCTGATTCAATAAACCAAGTAAAATTAGGCTTTTACTTTTTGTTGTTAATGCTCACGCAAAATTCAAATCTTGCGTGAATTTTGGGACACCCTATATTTCCTTTGAAATGCACACCCAGCCCCAGGAAAGAAAGGAACAGACAGAGGCAGTGCACTGTCTTCCTTTTCTTCCCCTGGACTCTTTTAAGAGTTACAGCGATGCCCCAGAAAGGGGCCTTAGATATAACCCAGCTCAACTCTCACCTTACAGGCTGGCAGCCTACCTCCCCACTTCCTTTCTTCATCCCAGAGAACACATAGGACCACCCGGCATGAAGTTTTGTGTCCAAATTCTTGTGCAGATTGGGATTTGCCAGGCCAGTTCATTCCCTGTCATTTATTTGTGCATGGCTTTTTCATGTCTGCCTTAATTCCACAATTTTTGAAGCTCATCCTGGTGCTAAGATTCTTGCAAAAGATAACAAGCTAAGTCCTTGCTCTCAAGAAACTCATAGTCCAAGGGAGAGAGAGGTCATTAAAATACATAGGGAGCATTGAGTGTCAACAATCTGTCTGAGGCCAGAGAGGAGGAGTGGGATGGAAAGGCAGGGGGTGTCCCATAGGAGGAAGGAAGGATGAACAGGAGAAGGCTGGGGCTGGAAGGCGAGTGGGGCCACACCTGCACTGTCAGGATTGTGAACTCCTCACAGGCTTCTGAATTCATGAGTTTTGTTTCCATAATATCAACATAGAGTATTTTGTTCTGGGCCCAGCTCAGCATAGAACCAGAAAAGCTGGATTCGTCATAGGTAGCAATGTGACCTTGGCCAAGTCCGTTATCCTCCTTGAGACTCAGTTTCTTCATGTGCAAAATGGCTTTAGTCATTCCCAACATACAGGTTTATTGTGAACATTAAACGAGATCATCTATGTCAAGAGCCCAGCAGAGTACCCGGTCCTTGTAGGAATCATTATGTAACAGCTGATCTTGGTACTGTATTGGTTCAGGCTATGACTCCAAGAACATAGGGCCCACCATTTCCACACCCTAAAGTGAGGGAGCGGGGAACCCAATGCAGCTATATAAAGGGACTGACAGCCTGTTTTGCAAACCTCAGCTTGTAACTGAATCCAAGGTTCAGCTGCCTGTCACCACAAAAGCCAAACTCCTGTGATAAGTATTGGTGAAAGTGTCGGCCACCTAAGAAGATGGGGGACTGTTGTTACAAAGCCCGTCTGAACATCTCAGAGCAGACAGAGGATTTTATAAGGAGGGAGAAGGAAAGCAAAGCAGAGAGATCAAGGGAGGGGTTGAAAAGTTCTCTACATGCAGACCAGCACAGTCCATTCTGATAAGGATCTCAAAACTGGTCAAGTGATAGTCTGTTGTGCATCAGCCTGGTTTTTATCATCTGATTTTATGTTTTCCTGGTTATACAGTTGAAGGTCAGCAAATCTCCTGGAACTGTGATGACTGAAGGTCAGAGCCTGCATCTTCTGAAGTTAATTCCTAGGAATCTTATACAAACACTAGAGGCCCAGTGCATGAAATTTGTGCATGGGTAGCGTTCTTAGGCCTGGCCAGTGATCAGGGCCGATCGGGGCCTTCCTTCCCCAGCTGCCGGCTGTCGGTTGCTGGCCGGGGCCTTCCTTCCTTCCACATCACCCCCTGGTGGTCAGCACATGTCATAGCGAGCAGTGGAACTCCCGTTGTTGGTTGAACTCCTGAGGGAACAATTTGCATATTAGCCTTTTATTATATAGGCTGCTGTTTATCTACAAGCTACATATTAGCCAGAGTCAGCATTTACAGAAACAATATCAAATGAATGATTGGGTGGGTTACAACCCCCCACTGTTACAAGCTGACTTCCCTCTTTCCCAGCCTATAAGAGAAGTTGAATGCCATGAGCAGGGCTGGGATTAATGGGAGCATTTCTCTGAGGAGCATTATTAGAGTGCTGTGGGTCCCACCTTCTCCCCCCCAATTCCCCAGCTCCCCACATGCACTTCTACGACCACAGGGGAATCAAGAGCATGCCTTTCACTTACCCCAGCACTAAGGAAAGGAATTTCACCGGGACAACCTGGAATACCTCCTACGTGACCTCTGGATCTTGGAGGTCACAGTGGGCTGGCATCTGATTAGTGCTTGAAGAATCATACTGGGCGGGTTACCTGTTCTGATGACAGAATAGAGAGAGGCTGCTGCCTCTGGGACAGCCTGAGCCACAAACTTTGTTGGAACAAAGCGGATGTGTGAATCTCCTGAGGACCAGATGACCTTGTGATGACCTGCCTGGAGTTGTCTCAACTTCTGTCCCAAAGAGCCATCTGGAAGGGAGAGGGACCCCAACAAAAATAAGCTGGCATGTGCCCTCCACTCCTGCCCAGAGACGGCTTAGAGCCAGAGCAATCTGTTAGGAAGGCACCCCCACCCACCCACTACAAGGGAGCTGCAAGTAAGAGGAGCCAGAAATGGGGCATGCCTGGCTCTCTAAGGAACCCTCCAAAGTGCTGCAAGGCAAAGTCAGCCCTGAACACCTGAGTTCCCGAGGGCAGCAATTCACCATCAGGACCGGGGCAGCCTCAGAAGACCCTACTTTCCCCATTCTCCTCCCCACCCCCTCATCCCCATTCTGGCAGCAGGGGAAGAACGCAAGGCAGAGGGGTGGGGAAGGAGCTGACCCCGGCCCCAAACACCCCTGGTGGGAGGCAGGGAGAAAACGGTACGTTCTAAGAAAGTTGGACATGTTGATGGGATGTACTAATTCCTGATGAGGCTGCTTTGGGAATTAAGAGTGTAAGCAGGCAGGCATGGGCTTTGCCAGGATTTTCATCCAGGAACAATTTGTTGCCTCTCTCAGGTCTTGCTTGTTTAACTTCATGATGATTTTACTATTATATAGTTCACTGAATACGCCATCAGTGAGCTCAGAGCCTTACACAGCTGATCTCGGCCCGACAGGCTCTTCCCGCCCCTGCCCTCCTAGGGAAACCCTGTTCCCTCATCTGAATCAAGCTAAGCCTTGCCTTTCCAGAGTCTCTTGAACTTCTCTCTACCCACTTTCCTTACAGAGAGAGAAGTGCTTTTTTTTTTTATTCCAGGAGGGCAATGCCCCAGCTTGGGGGAAAGATGCTGTTCTTTTATAATTTTTTCTGCCATTCCCACACAGTAGTTTTTGTTTTGTTTTGTTTTTAAATATATTTTTATTGATTTTTTACAGAGAGGAAGGGAGAGAGATAGAGAGTTAGAAACATCGATGAGAGAGAAACATCGATCAGCTGCCTCCTGCACATCTCCTACTGGGGATGTGCCCGCAACCAAGGTACATGCCCTTGACCGGAATCGAACCTGGGACCCTTCAGTTCGCAGGCCGACGCTCTATCCACTGAGCCAAACCGGTTTCGGCAAGTTGTTGTTTTTTAATTAACTTTATTGAGATACAATTTACCAACAATAAACTCATGTTAAGTTCAATGAGTTTTGCAGATATATAGGCCCATGCCACCACTGCCACAACCAAGGTAGAGAACATTTCCGTCACCCCAGAGGTCCCCATGGCCCTCACACACCCAGCCCAGGCAGCCCCTGACACGCTTCCCATCACTGCAGATGTGATCTGTCTTTCCCCAGAGCTTCGTATAAATGGAATCATGCAGGACAACCCAGGCTTACTCAGGAAAAATCTCTCTAGATAAGAAGAAACCAGTTTTTTATTTTCTTAGAAAATAAGAAAATCCATTTAACCTTGGCCACTCTATCATGGGTTAGAGCGTCCTTCTGAAATGCTAAGGTTTCAGGTTAGATCTCTGGTCAGCACACATACAAAAATCAACCAGTGACTGCATAAATAAGTGGAACAACAAACCTCTCTCTCTCTCTCTCTCTCTCTCTCTCTCTCTCTCTCTCTCTCAATAAATTAAAAAAATTTTTTTAAAGAAAATCCATTTAAAGTGTGAGTTGTTTCCTTCTAACAAGCAAACCACTATTCATTCTCTCTGGAAAGTGAACATACTGTAAATAATTTTCTTGACTATATATTTCAATTGGTTCAAAATCTCTGCCTCCTCCCTCCTCACCCCTCCTTCAGTTTCTGTTTCCATTTTCCTCTGATGTCTTGTTTATTTTGCTAGAATTTGAAAGTGTTATTGATGTTATGCTTATGGGTATTTCTAGTTTCCTTTAACCTTGGGATACAAATTGATTTTTCACGGGCTAATTTCATCTTCAAGATTCCTTGGCTTGAATTTGGCCCATTCATTGATCTAAAATGGTTGCGAAGCCATGGAGCAGAACGAGGCAGATCCTAACCTACGTGGTGAATGAAAGTCACCGTGGCTTTCGTCATTGTGGCAGGATTGTATGTGTTTCTTCCTATTGTGCCCTTCTTTTAAGGCTACCTTTACAGTCCTCCCAGTCTCTACTGTCCCTTTAAACCTAAATTCTGCAGGTGAGAGCAAATCAGCTCTTTTTCCACTGTTCTCTCTGTGCTCCTGAGCGGGTCAAGGAGGGAATGTACCAGGATGACCCAGAGGTGATCCCAGCTCCCTGGCTCCAGCACCGTCCACACACAAAGCAGCACGCAGCACACAGAACTCAGTGGCTGGCCAGCCGTGACCTTAGCTGAGGGGGCAGGTGGCCCCCTCATCTCCCAGCACCCAGCCCTTCCGACAGACATCCCGTGTTTACAGCATCCTTTGTGAGTTCCCCTTCTAGGGGTTTCAGCCCCTGGGAATTTTGTACTGGGGAAGGGACAGCTGTAGTGCTAGAGGCCAGGATATGCATAAGGCAAATCCTTTTCCTGTTCCCAGCTTTTCTCTTTTTTCCTAACCTGATTCAATTGTTCTGCTGTTGGCAATTGCCTTTTGTTCAAAGGCAAGGAGCACAATGTTGCTGTTTTATTATTAGTCACTACCCCTGATGGCGTATCGTGTGGGATGTCTGCTCAGCGCTTCCCAATGCCCACTCCGAGAACAGTATCCACTACTCCATGCGGATTTGCACTGTGCAACCCCCACCCTCACCCCCCTGCCAAAATCCTTGCCATCAGACACGCACGCATGACTGAAATTGGGCCAGATGGGTTCTCTCGCTTGGACATTTGAAATTGGGATTAAAGGAGAGTTGGTTTGTCTCTTTTTCACCCCAAGAAAGGTGGGATGGCCAGTGCTCAGAGAGTAGAGTCTCTCTCAGGGAGATGGGCAGATATGGCCTTGTGGACAGATGCAGATGAGGACATGAGTGACCACATGGTGTCAGCAGCGGGAGGCACATCCATGTACAGGGAGAAGGAGAGAGGAAGAGAGGAAGACTGGCAGGGTGAGGGGTGAGTGGGGGTGGGGGGGGGAGGGGGGGTTCCCAGATTCTGTTGGTTTCCAGTTCCAGGTTCAACCCAGCTGTCCTTTTGTGTTGGTTTCTATGTGATCTCCCTGTAAACTTGAATGAACTTCCTGGTTTTGCTTAAGGTAATTTGGAATCATTTCCTGTTCGTTTACAGGAAAAAGACTCTGAATAAGATGCAACCTGGGACCAGGAAATGAAGCTGCACCTAATCACATAACTGGCTCATTTCAGGGTTTGGGAACAAGGATCCCACCTCTCCCGCAGGGGGAGGAATGTTTGTGGAACACAGACTGAAGCCACTGGTGAAGTTAGTGTCTGTTGTTTTGGGAACTTGGACAATTTTGTCCTGAATCTGAGGCTTTAGGGGGCTTGAAAGGCCACCTCGAGATGTCCGGCTGTGCCAGCTCCTCCCTGGGACTTCAGTAAGGTGCACGGGAGACATGAAGCAGTCCGACGCTGCCTGACTTAAAGCCGGTAACGGAAAACAGGTCAGTTATGCAACCCTGCCCCTGGTGTTCATTATGCTGATAGTATAGGAGCTAAGAACACTGCGAGTTCATTCTCAAAATTCACCGTGGGACTTCCTGAGCTGCCGCACCTAGCACTGTGCAGCCACCGACACTGAGCACTAATGTGGCCACCAATAACGAAGCAGCCAGGCCCTGGCCATTGAAACCAGGTCCGTTGAGACACGCTAGGGCAGTGGTTCTCAACCTTCCTAATGCCGCGACCCTTTAATACAGTTCCTCATGTTGTGGTGACCCCCAATTTCATTGTTACAAATTGAACATAATTAAAGCATAGTGATTAATCACAAAAACAATATGTAATTACATATGTGTTTTCCGATGGTCTTAGGCGACCCCTGTGAAAGGGTCGTTTGACCCCCAGAGGGGTCGCGACCCACAGGTTGAGAACCGCTGCACTAGGGGCTTTGGGGAACCCTGATCCTTCAACACTTTTGCCAACTCCGTCTGCTGCGTCCTTTTGCTGGACAGAGGTGGCGGTGCCTCCCCTGCACAGCACCCTTGAGGACCAGGCTGAGGATGCCCCACTGGGCTAATGAGGCCTCTACATCCTAAACTGAAACCCATTAAGCAAAATATATAGCAGGCGTCCTAAGAAACGGAAGTCCCGTAGACACAGCCTGCCTCTGGCTGGCCAGCTTACCGAACTGTCTAGAAATGGCTTCCAGCAAATCGAATCTCCCTAAATTAAGTCGAAGGACTGCTAATGAAGGTTTTACAGGCTTTATGCTGCCAGGAAAATTTCAAGCCTCGAGAACAGCGTTTTTAAAGTGACACAGATCCACATTAGGAGCTTCTCAGTCCCTCAGGCGAGCACAGGCCCAAGCTCAGAGGCTGCTAACTCCACAGCCAGTTCATCTCCAATCTCCTCCCAGGGGAGGCCCAGGAGGACCCCACACAAGGACCATGTCCCCAGGAGCAGATCCTGGAGTGGCTGCACTGGCTAACCAAGGGCTCCCCCAGAGGCCGGCAGGAGTCACCGTGAGCTGCCGCGAGCTTTGTCAGGGCCCTTCCTTCTTCGTTCTTATGGGAGCTTATTGTCCACTCTCTCTCCTCGTGTTCTTTGTCCAGCGGGACACAGGTGGCAGATTTTATCACTCCTCCATAGACTAGACCACCTGGAGACTGACTTGGAGGGGAAAGGGACATGGCCTGGGGTCAGGGCCTCCATGGGGGATGACGAAGATGTTTGTGTTGGCAGACACGTCTGTGCTGTGTGACCCCACTGTCATGGGATGAGGAGTAGGGCTGGTTGATTTTATTTTCCTGAGAATTTTGAATTGAATCAAAGAGAGAACCAATACATTTCTCTGTGTGGCTAAACTACAAAGGATTTCAGCACTGCTGCCAGGTAAGCAAGGAGTTTTTCATGGTTGTGAGGCAGTCATGTGCCTGGAGGACCAGAGATGGTGCCTACAGCAGGGATGGTGTCTACAGCAGGGATGGTGCCTACAGCAGGGATGGTGTCCACAGCAGGGATGGTGTCCACAGCAGGGATGGTGCCCACAGCAGGGATGGTGCCTACAGCAGGGATGGTGCCTACAGCAGGGATGGTGTCTACAGCAGGGATGGTGCCTACAGCAGGGATGGTGCCTACAGCAGGGATGGTGCCCACAGCAGGGATGGTGTCTACAGCAGGGATGGTGCCTACAGCAGGGATGGTGTCTACAGCAGGGATGGTGCCTACAGCAGGGATGGTGCCTACAGCAGGGATGGTGTCTACAGCAGGGATGGTGTCTACAGCAGGGATGGTGCCTACAGCAGGGATGGTGTCTACAGCAGGGATGGTGCCTACAGCAGGGATGGTGTCCACAGCAGGGATGGTGCCCACAGCAGGGATGGTGCCTACAGCAGGGATGGTGTCTACAGTAGGGATGGTGCCTACAGCAGGGATGGTGCCTACAGCAGGGATGGTGCCTACAGCAGGGATGGTGTCCACAGCAGGGATGGTGCCTACAGCAGGGATGGTGCCTACAGCAGGGATGGTGTCTACAGCAGGGATGGTGCCTACAGCAGGGATGGTGCCTACAGCAGGGATGGTGCCTACAGCAGGGATGGTGCCCACAGAGGGAAGGTGCCTACAGCAGGGATGGTGCCCACAGAGGGAAGGTATCTACAAACAGAGAGGAAGGAAGCAGCTTTGCAGAGAGGCTGGGGTTTGGTGGGGTAGCTGATTCATGAGTACCTTCCTGGTTCTTGCTTCTCAGGAGGAAGGGCTGCATTTTTGCTTTATATTCCATGAACTATCTCTGACACTTCCTCAAGCTCCAAAAAAAGAAACACCTTTAATTTTGAAATAATTATAGGTATAGAGTAAGTTGCAGAAGGGTCCCATGTACCCTGCACTATTTCTCACATGGTTACAACTTCCATAACGCTAGTATAATATCAAACCAGGAAATGGACATTGGTACAATGTATGCCATAAAGATCTTCTTACTGTTTTCCCTATATATTCACCCCTCCTTTCACCACTCCTAATCCGTGGCAACTTCTAATCTCTTTCCATCTCTATAATTTTGTCATTTTGAGAATATTCTTTTTCTTTTTAACCCTCACCCAAGGATATGTTTTTATTGATTTTAGAGAGAGAGAGGAAGGGAGAGGGAAAGCACAAGGGAGAAATATCAATGTGAGAGAGAAACATCAATCGGTTGCTTACAACATGCAACCAAACTGGAGATTGAACCCAAATCCTGGGTATGTGCCCTGACCAGGAATCTAACCTGCAACCAACTAAGCCACACCAACCACGGCTCATTGTCATCATAAATTGCCTTTTAAAATTGCCAATTGGTGAACTCCCCCCCCCCCCGCCCCCATGTGTTTATTTGTTATCTGTATATCCTCATTGATGTGTCCCTTCGTGTCTTTGCCCATTTTCTAATGGGGGTGGAGAGGGGGTTACTGTCAAGTTTTAATATAAATTATCTTGTTTTGTTAACAAGTTTGAAATGGGCTTCCGTTCCTTGCAAACTCATGGGTATTCTGCTTTTGTCTTTAGTGACAATCATAACAATAGCTAACATTTATTGAGCACATACTTTGCAGCAGGCATGTAAGTGATCACAGGTTTTAGCTCACTTTATATATGTTGTTTTTATAAACATTATATGGTATTGTTCTAATCATTAACTGCCATTACAATGCAGTCTATAAATAATTAGCATAAACAAATGGCTCCCGCAATCCATTGCCTAAATTCCAACTGACTGAGTTTGTGTTGATTGAAAAAATATCTAAGCCACTAATGTCACAAGAGTGCAAGAATCACAGCAGCTGCTCTTCAAGTGAAACAGCGTTCACAGTTTAAAAAAAACATTTCATAGTGCAAACGTTTTTATTTGTTTTAAGTCAATCCCTGACAATGTTCAGTTCAACACATTCTACAGGGGGGAAAAAATCCTCCAAGCTTCTGTCTCCTCCTAAAATAAAAGCAGAAAATAAATGCCCATTTACTTTGGGTAGTTTTTTATAAACCACATGAGTGTGAATGAAGCTGACACACACACGCAGTGTTCAGATATATTCTGAATGCCTGTGTGAGGCTAGGACAGTATTTCCTGAGGGTTCCCTAGGTGAGTGTGCAGTTGGCCCTACAGCAGAGCTACCTCTGTGACGGGCAGGTCCCTGAGGGGCTGGGCACTGCCCCCTGTGGCCTGGGGGCTGTACATGTGAGTTATTGTGAGTCAAGGCAATGCCTGCCTTCTGGATAGTCAATCATCTACTGATTGTTTGCTGCTGCTTCTTTCCACACTTGGAAACTGACAAGAGGATGTGGAGTCCCCGTTCCCACACGTTGGTCACGTTTCACCCTTGGAAGAGGTCAATGATGGCGAGCCCGCGGCGCAGCCAGGCAGCACACGGGCATCAGGGAATGACCACACCTGCCCCACCCCAGTGTCGTTGCCACAGTGCAACCTGCGTCGTGAAAGGTGGCGTCAACAGAGCGAAGTCACAGGTGTGTGCATTGGGGGCCCACGTCCCTCTGACTGATGTGTAGCCACTGCGTTTAGGAGGGTCCAGTGGCTGTGGCTCTACCTCTCCGCCCTCTTCCCGTTACTATTTCCCCTCCCCCATGTCAGTTCAAATCTAGCCTCACTACTCAGCAGCCAGGCTGTTTGCAATTTACCTTTCCTTCTGGCTCTGGGGTGGCAGGGGAAGCCCTTTCTTGCAGGGCTGTTGTGAGCTTTGCCGATTACTGTATCTATTACCAGGGAAGAGGGAAAGGGGTGCTGTTGTTTCATGGGTACAGAGTTTTAGTTTGGGAAGATGGAAAGTTCTGAACAGTGGTGATGGGAGCAAAACATTGTGGGGGCAACTGATATATATCCACCTCCCATCATAGCTTAGCACTCAGATGGTAGCTAGCGAATTCTAGAAATGGGGCAGCCCTCCTCACTACCCTTAGCCCCCCACCTTGGTCTCTGCCCTCAGGTCATGTGTTCTCTCCTGTCCATTCCCCCACCCTGTCCCAGCCACACCCTCCTATCAGTCAGTTGGGGGTGGGGGGTGGGGGGGATGCAGACAGAGTGCTCCCCTCGCCTAGTAGTGCAGGATCTCTCATTGGCTGCCATCACCATGGCAACTCACTGTCTCCTCCCCCACCCCCTCCCTTTCCAGAGCCTGCAGATTTGTGGAATTCCAGACTTCCAGGGCTGGGAGGGAAGACGAAAGAGAGTCGGGGGAAGGGAGAGAGGCTCCCCTGACTGCAAGGGCAGCCACAAGGTTCCCGTCTGCCTGGATTCCCATTGCAGCCTGGTGACCAGTGTGGCCTCTGTTGTCTCTCCATGTTGAGAAACCACTCTGCTATTCATAGGCACGCCTGATCCCCTCTGACATGGGCCAGCCCAGGGCCCCAGGGCCCCGGGTTCGTGGCATGAGGCCGGCATGAGAAGAGTGTTGTTCAAACAGAAGACCGGTTTCCTGCTGCTGGCCTTCCGGCACTGATGGGGTGACAC